AGAATATGTGATATCTCGAGTGGACAAAGTTTATTGGCGGCAGTGGGAAACGCATTTAAAATATATGGAGGACAAGGATTGGGAGAAAGAAGGACTTCGATCAGTTCATCCGACCAAGAGTTGTCATCAACCCATGTGAACACTCGTTTGACTCGCTGACAGAACAAAGGTAGGCCAATGCTTAGACTACTCACTTCTTGCCACATTTTGCTCTATTTTCTGCACGCCCCTGAATGCGCACATTTTTTCGTGTTTGGATTATAGATACTGTAAGCACTCTAAATGTGATGTACTAATGATAAAGAGTAATTAATTAACCAGTCACTAATTAGCTACATAGTTTGAATTTTCCTAATGTCGTGGGTGCACATAACTACCACTAAAAATATGGTTAAAATCGAACAAGTAGTTGCTGAGATACAATGTATGATTTAGCTTCAATCAAACGCGTTCACGAATTATGGGATGGACTACAGTAACGTACAAAGAAAAGAAGGAGGAGAGACAAAGACTAAAGATGTTTGATAAGACAGAATGAGCAAATCCACACCGGGGGCTCTCATGGCCTAGAGGTTAAGGTGTTGACCTCTCATTCAAAGGTCCCGGGTTCGAATCCGGGTAGCGACCGAAAAATTTTCTATTCTAAAATTGTCCCCTTTCACCTCCTTTCTTGTTCTCTTGCAATATACTGTCGTCTGCTTTCGTCTCCTCTTTCAGCCCCCACCTCCACCCCCCCTTTACCTCCTCCCTTGGGCTCTTGACTCTTTCTGCAGCCTTTCTACTGCTTCTCCTTGGCTCCTTCTTACTACTGTCTTTCAGCCACACCCCTGATCTTCTGGTAGGAAAGATCTACACCTAGCCTTCTCGGACAAGGGCGCAAAACCTCGGAGGTCCCATGTGCAAGTTGCGCACATTAAAAAAGACCCTTGGTGGTCTAAATCGATAAGAGTAGGCTTAGGCCGCCATCCGGGCAAGTGCCGTAAAAAACTCTTATTAAAACTAAAACTAAATTTTAATGTAACAAGCCCAAACATTTAGAGTTTTGAGAAAAGTGCAGTTTCTTACTTTGCGTGGTATCGGTTGCATGTACTCGAGAAATATTTTGACGTAATTCAAATTCAAGTGTTGAAAAATGTTAGAAAAAAACCCCATGACAAAAGTAAAAGTGTTAAAGCAATTTAAAATACATTTAGGGGGGCTCTCGTGGCCTAGAGGTTAAGGTGTTGGCCTCTCATTCAAAGGTCCCGGGTTCGATTCCGGGTAGCGACCAAAAAATTTTCTTCTGTAAAATTGTCTCCTTTCACCTTCTTTCCTGCTCTCTAGCAATGTTCTGTTGTCTGCTTTCATTTCCACTTTGTGCCCCCACCCCCTCACCTCCTTTGCCCCCTCTTCTGGGCTCCTGACTCTTTCTGCAGCCTTTCTACTGCTACTCCTTGGCTCCTCCTTA